CTCTAGTTCCTGTGGGAAGGGGGTAGGGATGCCAGGCCTAGAAAGAGCAAGCTGCAACCCTCCCTGGCCCAACCTAGCTACTATCCAACCTGTGCAGCAACCAGGGTGGTTTGGCGGGCAGGGCACCAAGCTCTAGAAAAATCAAAGGACCAGGAGGGGGGGAAGGGGGGGAAGGGGGGATGATGACTCTGCCGGCATCCCAACTAGAGGATGCCAGATACCATCTCCCTTCTATCCCTTCCTCTGACTTCTTAGACACATCATTTTTCAGATGTTTTCAAGCTGATTCACTTGAGGGAGCATCTACCAGGGTTCCAAAATTCCAGGAGGTTCTGGAACATGCTCTGTCCCCACTGAGTGGGTCTCCTTGGCCCTTACAAGGCTTTCCTACTTCCCAGCTAAGTTCTCAGACAGCATACAGGAAGAAAGAAAGGCTAATTGGGAGCTCAGGGACTCTGGGGGGCAGGGGCAGCTCGGGGAGCCAGCCCAGGGACGAGGGAGAGGCTGTGCGTGCCTCTGCCTCCACTCCTGCCAGCCTAGGAGCCTGGCCCTCTGCACAGCCCCCCCCCCCCCCCCCCCCCCCCCCCCGTCTCTGCACTGCACCCAGTCTGGCTGATGGCCTCTGGGCTCTCAGCGCTGCGGGGAAACAGCCTTTTGGACCTTCTGTGCCTGTCCCTCCCCAGGGATACTGCAGGCTGTGCCTGCCACCGGATCCCAGCATCTGGAACAGTGCCTGGCTCAGAGTAGGCGCTCTATAAATATTTGTGGGATACATGGGAAGAACAGGAGCGCAGAGGAAGGGCAGAGGGCAGAGGGCTCCGTTCCGGCATCCTCGGACCCTGGGAGCTGAATGACTCCTCCTTCCCGCCATCGCCATAGCGGAGTCTGAGACATGCCTGCCACCCCCACCCCCACCCCCCACTGCAGCATAGGCTTGACTGCAGACACATCCCTGTCCCTTCCATACTTTCACTCAAGCTACCCTTCAGCACAGAGGACAAGCTCTTCCTCCCCGCAAAGGCTACCAGATCTGGTACTTTCTGTCCCCTCATCCCTAGCAGGCTCTTCCCATCCCCAGGGCTCCAGGGTTCTTCCTGTCTCTTCACTTTTTGCTACTCTGCCAGGTTCCAATGATTCTCAGGCAAACTGCTGGAGCAGGGCCCAGGGGTTAGGGGAGGTCCTGAGCTCCAGGCTGGAACCCTCAGCCACCTGCTGGCTGTGAGAGTCACTCACTAGTTATGGGACTTACCTGAGTCTCAGTGTGGGGGATAAAAAGGTTCGTGGGACAAGGTGAGGGCCAAGGACAGGGCAGAAGTTCACTGGATGCTCAGCTTAGCCCCCTGGGTAGACATGGGAGGGGCCTGGGGGCCACACAGACTGCTCTTACTTCCCACCCCTGCTGGCTTGGGACCCTGTACAGAGGTCAGGTTAGCATAAGGTAGGCACTCCTCAGAGAAAACTCCATGCCCCCAGTGAGCATCAACCACCCACGCAGCACCACAATGAATTTCCAACAGGCACCCCGCCTGCTGTAGCCTTACTCAAAAGTGCCCTGTGCCTTCTGCCCAAACAGAGGGGTCTCAGGAACAGCCTCAACACAGTGAGCTTGGCCTGGTGACATTCAAATGCTCCCTGACTAGTTTAATTATCAGAACATCCCTACAAACCATGTGGCCTGTATTCCCACTTCGCAGCCAAGAGAGCTGAGCCCAGCCAGGATAAGAACTTGTTGGCAGACAGCTCTGAAGCAAAGACAGGGGCAGGCCGGGACCAGGCCTGTCCTGCCCCAGAGCCAAGCTCTTCTTGCACTTCAGACCTTGTGGAGCTGTGCCTTCCAAGTCCCAGCAACAGCCTCAGCACTGGCTGTCACACACCTGTGGCTAATGAAAGGCTTGGTGTCCCATGCCAGAAGCAGGTGATTGCCATCAAAGCCTTAAAGTCAACTCAAGAGCAAGGCCAACTCTGGTCAGGAAAGATAAAGGCAGTGTGTGAGGCAGGGGGGTTGTGAGCCTGGGAAAGGGGACCCAGGCACAACAGGGATGGATTGCCTCATAGGTCAGCCTCCTGTGCCCGGGCATCACACGCACGCACGCACGCACGCACGCACGCACACATACATGCATACAAGCACATGCACAATCGCAGGACCCAGACACTTTATACACAAACAGCCACTCCTGAACTGGGCCCCCCCTACCCACCTTTGTGTCTCTCTCTGCAGGTCCCTAGCCAGTCACTGCCACATAGGCCTCTGCCCAGGACAGAACAGTCTGTTTGGTAGGAATTAGGATCCCAGCCCAACGGCAGGACAGTGAGTGCGGTTCACAGATGCCTGCCTGTCGCTCCCTTTCTGGGGCCACCTGGCCAGCTCCTGTCCCCTTCTTACAACGCTGGGTCCCAATGTCCCAATGCCCCGACTCTCTCCTACCGAGCAGACAGCTGCATCCTGAGAACAGGCCCCAGGCCTCGGCCCAGCTCCACGCAGCTGACTCGCAGAGACGCTAACCACTGCAAAGGTTGTCTAGGCCACCATCCCGAGTCCCATGCGCCTGTATCCCACGCCTACACGTCTGGAATCTGTTGCCATCTGCTCCGTAAAGCCACCAGGAAGACTCAAACCAAAGGCACTTGGGTGGGAATCTTGGGGAGAGAGGCAGCCAGGAGCTAGTGAGAGGAACTTGTCACTGGGACCTCCCGGTGACCTGCGTGGCTACGCTAATTACCAATGTTATCGGGCGGACAACAGCCGTGCCCCGAGCTTCCTCCGTTTGATAGACCCTCAGCAAACACGCCCAGCTTCAGCCCCGTGCCTGCTGATTCCAGCCGCAGCTACTCTTCCACCCCCTGCCCCCAGACCCTCTAACCTCCTGCCCCAGGCCTCCAAGGTCAGCCAAGCCAGCAAGGCAAAGAGGAGGCCTCCTGTAGGGACACTCCAGGCTGGATCAATGATAACCACCAAGGAACAGAAAACATCTCTCCTTTTGACGACCCAGATGCTCTAGGAGAGGAGAGCTACTGCTTACCTTTGTTACTCCTGCTGCTGGGGAGCTCCAGCCCATGGGTGCCTGGTTGACGAGCCCTTGACCTGCACAAACCAGGGTCCCACATTCCACGCAGGCACCAATGATCAGCTGCCTGCCGTCATCCACCAACAGGCTGTGGCTGGCTCTCAGGGTATACAGGAACAAGGGCAGCCTGGCCACCCTCACTGACTTCAGCCCCAGACACCGTTTCTTCTCTTGCTGACAGAAGAAGCACACGAACGTGTCCACCTGGTACTGCCTAGACCAGGCGCTGACAGCCTGGTGAGCGGCCCTGGCTTCGTGCTGCAGCCATTGACCCAGCAAGTCGTGATAGCAGAGCACACAGGTGGTCACCAGGCCGGTGGAGTCTGCAGGCCTGGCCCGTGGGGCGGGCGGATAGACGGTGAGGAAAGGAAAGAAGGGCTCCTTCTCGCCCAGGTGGCTAGCGGGGTTCATGCTGAGCTGGAACTCCTTGCCCGGCCCCAACTCAGCCCCGCAGATGTAACAGACGGCAGGCGGTCCTCCCTGCGCAGAAGCGGGCAGCTCGCTCAGAGTAGGGTCCGAGGCGGAGAAGGCTTGGTGGTACCTGCCCAGGAAGCCTTGCACCGAGCTGATGAGCTCACGGTTGTGCGATGCCCGGTACAGGGCCCAGACGTCCTCCAGGACGCTGAAACATTTGGGACAGCTGCGAACCTCGCAGCGCTTGTTGGGGGGCCGAGCGTTGGGTGGGCAAGGAAGGAGGCTGAGGAAGGGGAAGTGCATGGAGCTCCCCGAGTTGCCATTGACGATGCGGGAGGGCACAGCCCGGGCATCCCGTGTACAGTCCTCCCCGCAGAGGTAGCAGGCCTCCCGCAGCAGCCCCGCGGCGGCGGTGGCGGGCCCCTCCTCTCTGGGGAGTCTGCGGGCCTTGGAGGCCATGCCGGGGGCGTGGCTGTTCAGGGGAACCACATAGAGCCGCTGCAGGACAGGCACGTTGGCCAGCTCGAAGCTCTGCCACTGGTGCGTGAGGGACGAGAAGCAGCAGGGACACACGAGGGTGCTGCCCGCCTCGGTGATGGGCTGGGCGCCGGGCGGGGGGCTGTGCAGCCACAGGAAGGGGAAGAAGGGCGCCTGAGCGGGCGCCTCCTGCTTCTGCACGTGGATCTGCTGCTGCGAGGCCGGCGACAGCGCCGACCCACAGACGTAGCAACAGCGGGCCTGGCTGTCTGCGGGCGTTTGGGGGGGCCGCTCCAGGCCCTCGTCCCCAACGAGGCTCCCTGCGACGTCGCTGCCCTCGGGGGTGCCGCTGCGCTCTGGGGGTCCCACGGTCCGGCTAGAGGCGGCGCTGTCCGTGCCGTCGGGCGCTGTAGGGACAGTGGGGACAGGCCAGGGTTCCTGGACGCCCCTCAGCACGCTGGCCCGCGGCTCGGGAGCCCAGTGAGTCCCGGGCCCCGTGCGTCGGCGCCGGGCTCCGGGCTTAGTGGTGTCGTGAGCATCCTCGGGCTCGGGCTCAGGCTCGGGCTCCGGCTCTGGTAGCGCGTCGGCGTCCGACAGCTCCGACAGCTCCGAGTCGCGCGCGTCCTCGGCGTTCCACTCGCGGGCCCCACGCCGGCCGCCCGCGCTCGCGTCGCACTGGTGCGGCCGCTTGAGCCAGTACACGCGCTTGTCCACGGGCGTGCGCGCGCGCTCGAAGGCGGCCCACTGCTCGGCCAGGAAGCAGCGGCACACGGCGCACACCAGCACGCAGCCATCGGCAGCGCTCAGCCCGCGCGCACCGGGCGCCGGCTCCTGCTGCTGCAGGAACGGGAAGAAGGGCTGCGCGGGGCCCGCCGGCCTCACCGGCAGCTTCAGCTCCTTGCCGCGCGCGATGCCGCCGCCGCAGATGAAGCACGACAGGGCCGCGCCCGCCGCTGCCATGAGCCGCTGCTTGCGGGAGAGCGGCGCCGCCCGGCCGCTCATGGCCCGGCCGCCGCGCCCGCCTCCGCGCTCCCCGCGGCTGCCGCTGCTCCGGCCGCGCGCCCCGAGGCCCCGCGCCCAACTCGCAAAGTTTGGCGGGCGGCGGCGCGCACGCGGCCCGGGGCGCACGGAGGGTCTCTGCGGCGGTGTCCGGGGTTGCCGAGTCCCCGGCGGGCTGCGGTGCGGGCCCAGGCGGCGCCGGAGAGCGCGCCCGGAACGTGGCGGTGGCGGCGGTGGCGACGAGCCCCGGGCGGCTGCGGCGGCCGCATGTGCGAGCTCCGGCGCCGGCCCGAGCGTCGGGTCATTTAATTGGGGAGGAGGGAGGCGGGGCGGCGCGGGGCGGAGGGCGCGGGAGGGAGGTGGAGGCGGGGAAGCCCTCCCTCGCGCCGCCCTGCTGCCCGCCTCCACCCGGGCTCCTCCTCCCTCTCCCCCCTTCCCCGGACTCCGACTCCTCCTTCTCCTAATCCTCCTCTCCCTACCCTCCTCCCCTGCCTCCTCCTAACCTCCTCCCCTTACCTCCTCTCCAGCCCTCCTCCCCTGACTCATCCTCTCCTCTTGATCCTCCTCCTTCCTCCTCCCCTGACCTCTTCTCTCCCCAACCCCCGCACCCCGCCCCCGTCCTCCTCCCTCCCCACCCTCTCTCACCCCCCTGTGTCCCAAACTATGGCACAATAGCGCTCAGCTCCTCTGTCTATTCTGTGTCCAGCAGGAGCCCGCGGTGATTCATTGCTCCAATTAGGGGCTCTGCAGCCCGTGGCTCGGGCTGTCTGAAGGGTCTCCTTTGGGACCCACGAAACCCATCAGCCGCTGCCGCTGATCTTTAAGGAAAGGTCAAGCCGGACGCATTAGAGCCAGGTGAGGACCGATGGGTACCAAGGGAGGCTTGGGAAGGGCACCCCCACCCCGGCCTCCAAAGCTGGGGGGGCGTCCTGGCCCTTCAGTAGCCCGGGGTTGGGGTCACCTTTCTAAGCCCAGTGCCCTAGTTTTAGAGACAGAGGGAAGAGGAGTTGTCTTCTGCATCACCCTGGAGACAGACTCCTCACAGCCTACCCCCACCCCGACTGGCCAGGGGCCACCGGGTCACCCTAGGGGTAGGAGTAGGAAGGATACTGTGTGTCCTGGGACTAAGAACTCAACCTCTCTGTACCCTTTTCCTTCTTGCTGAAGTGTTGTAACGGAGACCACAGATACCCACGACTTAATGTATTGGATGCAGATACATTGTAGCAGTTTAACACAGAGACAGACCTGCAGGCCAAGTTCAGCACTGTTTCATGCTTCTTAGCCACTCCCCCCAAGAAGCAAGTGTGGGATGACTGTCCCTCACTTTATGACTCAAAAGAAGAGGCCAGGCAGGATTCAGACCCAGGCAGCAGGGTTCTGCATGGAGTATGCAGCCTCCTCAGGCAGACATCTGGCCCGTCACCCAGAAGCTGCTGGAGACTGTCCTTGGCGCCTCCCAAGCACACAGGCGTGCATGCATGTCTCTGTCTCTGTCTCTGTCTGTCTCTGTCTGTCTCTGTCTGTCTCTCTGTCTCTCTGTCTCTCTCTCTCTCTCTCTCTCTCTCTCTCACACACACACACACACACACACACACACACACACACACACACACACACACACAGATGGTGCCCTTTGGTTCAGGCTGGGCCACCAAGCAATCCCAAACCCTTCTGGGCCTCAAGTCTCCCATCTGTAACAGGGCCCCCTGAAGCTTCAGAACCGTGAGCCTCTACTTCCTAGCAGCTTCCAGCTGTTTACCCTGCTAGCAGGAGGCAGCGCCTGGGGCTCTGGGGACAGGAGCCCCCACTTGGTGAGCTGACATGTAAATAAAGCCCCTGTACCCCGTGTAAATGGGCAGGAGAAAGGCCTCTTGGGAGTCCCTGACATTCCAGGGCTCCAGGATCAACCAGATGGGATGTCAACACGGCAGAGCATGGGACTCTTCCTTCCCTGACCCAGAAAATGCTGGCTCAGCAAACTATCTTGCAGAATTGGGGGGGGGGGGTGCAATCCCCCGACTGCAGGCAGTATCCATACCTTGTTGGAGGCGAGATCGATGGATGGGAGCTCCCTCATGAAGGAACCCTTTCTGTTCTAACCAAGGAAGGGCTGGGGGTCTCACCAGGTAGGAAGGAGCCTGGGGAAACTGTTTCTGCCCAAGCACAGCAGGTTCCCTGGAGGTGAAGGCCCCTCAGCCCATCTACAGAGCCCTTCAGGCTCATCTGTAGGGACTCAGCTGGAGTTGCCCATGTTCCTTCCCATCTGCTCATCATTCATTTTATTTCCTTTGCCATCTTCTGCTTCCTACATCCTTTGATCTCCCAAGAGCCAGTTCCTCCAAGTCCATCCTGCACACTGAAGAGCCAGGACCGGCTCCATTCCTGCATCCAAAGCCCCAAACCCCATCCCGCCAGCTGTGTGTACCTCAGACAGAGGCAGACCTCTTAACTCTACCAACCTCAGTCTTCTGCTATGTGTAATGGGCACATGCTCCTTCCACAGTGGGCCAAATGAGAGCCTGGCACAGAAGGCTGACACGATGGGAGGATGTGTGTGTGTGTGTGCATGTTAGCATGTGTGTGCTACTACACACATGTGCTGTGTATATAGACATGTGTGTGAACAAGTACAGACATGTGTAGTGTGTTGTACATACATTTGTGTGTGAATGCATAGTTATATACACATGCGTATGTGTTTGTGTGCACAAGTCCAGGGATACATGTGTGTGCTTCTGTGGGTGAAGTGGGCGGGGTGGAGGGGGGGAGATTTCTGTTTCTCTCAATGGGCGAATGACTCAGGAAATCCCCTGGCACGGATCAGAAGAGGAAGACAGGTGACGCTGCTGAGTCATCTGGGGGTGGGTGACATGGGGGTGGAGCCGCAGCACAGCCAGACACAGCAGCATTCACCAGCCTTGCTGGGAGGGTGGGGGCTGAGGGGGCTTCTGACCCTCAGGGTCTTTGTTTCTCCATCAGGAAAGCAGAGCTGACCAAAGGATGCATTTTTTTAGGTTTGGGAAAAGCAGAACCTAGGCAGTGCTGACAGACCATGCTCTCCAGAGACCAAGGCAGGAGGATCTCAAGTTCAAGGCCAGCCTGGGCTGCACAGTAAGACCCTGTCTCAAAGGCACAGAGTCGAGGGACCCCAGCAAACCCCACCCCCACGTGGAGCACAGCAGTGGTGGTATCCCGGCATGCTGGGCAAGTGCTGAACACAAGCCTGGGCCTTGCAGGAACCAGTTCCTGAATCTCCACAGGGCCCATGGCATGTCATTGCACCCCGGCTGTCTGACGAGAAGACTGAGGTTCAGAATGAGGAGAAATCAGCCAATAGAAACAGCAGGTTGAGTGGGAAAACATACCCCCATCTCTCTCTCACACACACCCCCCCTTAGAAAGATGTTGAGAGTGATTTGCCCTAAGTGTTCTTCTTTCGTGTGTCCCCAACTATGCATCTAAGAAAACTAAAGCTCTCACAGGCTCTGGCCTGGACACAAAGCCAGCTCTGTGGTGCCAGATGCTCAGACACCAAAATGCTTTAGTATCTACTTCATGTTCCAAAGCCATTCCAGCCCCCAGCCTGGCCGTTCACATGTGCAAAGCTCAAACTGGGTCGAGCCATCCACACATGCCTGTCAAGAGTCATAGCATCGTTTGAGGCCAGCCTAGTCTACAAAGTGAGTTCCAGGACGGCTAGGGCAGTTACACAGAGAAACCCTGTCTCAAAAAATGAGAGAGAGAGAGAGAGAGAGAGAGAGAGAGAGAGAGAGAGAGAGAGAGAGAGAGAATCTAGACTGAGGGTATCCAGCAGAGTCATCCCCCTGCCTACGGAGGGGCCATGTTCCTTCCATACCTGTCACTATTCAAGGCATGGGCAATATTGCAGCTCCCAGTAGCCCCAGCTCAGGGCAGGGAACTCACAGCCCACAGGTTCCATGGAGACATGGAGCAAAGGTACAGAGCATCTGGGCACAGCTCACATTTTTGGCCGCCTGTGGGGCATCTCCCAGCTCCCCCCTAGCTCTCTCCAGCTCCCAGCACCACACAGTACTATGTCTGTTTCCGGCTGTGTCTCCCAAGGGGATGAGCCCCGGCTGGCCTGCCTTGCACTGTCCTAGTTTCACAGGGCCCAATCATTGTTGGGACCAGGGATGCAGGACTCCAAACCTCATGATGCCTTCTGTTCTAGAATCATCAGGCCATCTGGCAGAATGGTACCTCCTATAATCCCAGCACCCTGGAGATGGATGGGAAGTTCAAGGCCAGCCTGAGCTGCAAAGTGAAACCCTGCCTCAAAAAATAAAACCTTGGAAGGAGGCAGGTAAGATCAAATGCATTTTATACACGCATGGAATTCTCAAAGAATAAAAATATTAAAAATAAGCCTGGTAGTGGTGGTACACACCTTTAGTCCCCACACTGGGGAGGCAGAGGCTGGCAGATCTCTGAGTTTGAGGCCAGTCTGGTCTGAAGAGCAAGTCTCCAGTTCCAGGACAGCCAGAGCTACACAGATAATCAGTGTCTCAAGAAACCAAATATATAATAAATTAAAACAAATAAAAAAAATCCCACCAGCATCACCCTGCTCCTCAGCAGTCTTCGGCTGCTCGATATATCCATCATTCCAAGCCTGAAATCAAATTCAACTATCCCAAGGCTCCCAGCTTCTCCCAGCTTCTTGCAGCTTCTCCCAGCCTGCAGCTTTGACATCCTTCTTGTTGTTCCTTGCATCACTTCTCTCTTCCTCTGTGTGCGCTCCTCCAGCATCCTTCCCAGGACCCAGTCACTGTCTGTTCATCTGCTTCTACAGAGGCAGCCTGGGCCCTGTGTTTGCTCTCCAGCTAGCTGGGGACCAAAAGAGGAAAACTGATCTTTGGCTGCCCTTCCTTTTCTTGCTCTCCCCCCCTCCCCTCTGTTCCCCTCTGCTCCCCTCCTCTCCCCCCCCCCCCCCCCCGCCTTTCCCTTCCCTTTCTTTTCCATCTGGATGGAGCAAGCACTTCACTACTTTCCACAGAAAGAGCTTCAAACATGGCAGGATACTGACAAAAATACACCCTCCTCAGAGGGAAAGAATGTTACTATGGACAATAAAAAAACAATCCCTGGGTGGCTGACTGGGGCCAGTCATACCCCGTTAGCATTTGACAGCTGGGCCTGGTGGCTGGAGAAGTGTTGCCTCTGCTTTAGATGAAGGGAATCGGGTCCCCAGAAGCAGGGACTTGTTCAAAGATGCAATTCCCGAGACCAGGGTGAGACTGGTGAAATTTTGCTGCATTTTAGAGATTACGTTTATGTATATATACATATGTACATATACACATATATATGCACACACATAATATATACATATATACACACTGTGTGTGTGTGTGTGTGTGTGTGTGTGTGTGTGTGTTAAGAGGGAGTGTCCTAGTTCGCTTTCTGTGGCTGTGATAAATACCATGACCAAAACCAACCTTGGAGGAAAGGGTTTATGTGGTTTACAGGTCCTGTAAGATGGCAGTCCGAGCCGGGCGGTGGTGGCGCACGCCTTTAATCCCAGCACTCGGGAGGCAGAGCCAGGCGGATCGCTGTGAGTTCGAGGCCAGCCTGGGCTACCAAGTGAGTTCCAGGAAAGGCGCAAAGCTTCACAGAGAAACCCTGTCTCGAAAAACCAAAAAAAAAAAAAAAAAAAAAAAAAAAAGATGGCAGTCCGTCATTGAGGGAGATCAGGGCAGGAACTCAGCAGCAGGGAGGAGCCATGAAGGAACGCAGCTTTCTGCCTCACATTCAGCTCCCTTCCTTAGACAATCCAGGACCCCCTGCCTAGGCATGGCACTGCCCACATTGGTCTGGATCCCTTCACATCAATCAACAGTGGAGAAAAAGCCCCACAGACTTGCCCACAGGCCAGTCTGATGGAGGCAGTCCCTCTGTTGAGGTTCCCTCCTCCCATATAACACTATTTGTATCAAAGGGATGAAACTAAGCAGCACAGAGGATAGAGGGGTCTGCCACCTCATACCGTGGAGGTCAGAGACAACCTGTGGGAACCGGTCTTCTTCCTCTATGTGGGTTCCATGCCTTAAACTCTGGGCGTCAGGCTTGGTGCCAAGGACCTGTACTACTGAGCCAGCTCACAGGCCCTTCTGTTACCCTTCGTATGGACTGATTCCATTAACTCATTAAACATGCAGCTTCTCCAGGGCGCTAGTAACCCCATCTCAGCGGCCACTGCTCTTCGAGACACCCCCGTCTCAGAGCAAGGAGATGGCAGCTCACTGTCCATCTCTGGGTTCTGAGATGGTGTAGGCAGGAGCATTCCATACGTTGCAAAGGCCCTTGTGTGAAAATCCCAGCTTGTGCTCACAGCAAAGGATCAGGGCATGGGGGCCAGGAGACAACTCTCAAGCTCCCCCCCCCCCCAACCCGAGGATGCTGCGGTGAACTTCAGAGCCTTGTAAAAACCTTTTGATAGATGAACACAGAGCTGACCTGCACGGGGCTGATGGGACAGACTCTCCACATAAATCTTACGTGCGCTTGAAAATTCCCTCCCCACTGGCACCTCCAAGGCTCTGATTTGTAGCAGAAACCCCTTGATGTGGTTGGTTCCCAAGCAGCCAAGCCCCAGAAGTTCTGGAAAAGGCAGGACACGAGAGGAGGAAAGGAAAGTTAGACATGGAGAGTGACCTCCAACTGCCCAGCATGCATGCCTGGCCCACAGTCAGTGAGTTTGTTGGTCAGCTAGCTTTGGTCCTCCACTTGGACGAAGACAGCTAACATTACCAACTCTTCACTAAGTGCTGGGTACTTTCTAAGCACCAGGGGCTATGTTCACTTAATACGCGAACACTATTGTTAGTTTTACTGATGGGGCACTGAGGTTCCAAACAGTGGCCCCATGTCCCCAAGGTCACAGAGCTGGGAGTCCCCAAGGTCACAGAACTGGGAAGTGTCGGGGCTGGAATTGAACACTTGCTCTAACCCACCACCCATAAGGTACAGCTCCCGGCCTACAGGCCCACCTCTCCAAATCCTTCCCCATAAAAACATTCCTGTCACTCTTAGTGTCCTGCCCCAGAAGCTAGTGGTCTTGCTCACCATCCTGCCCATGGCTCCACCAGCAGCTGTACCTTCAGCCAGGTCCCCAAGCCCTTGGACCCAGAGTTTCTCAGTGGCTTCCTCAGGTTCTGGCTCACAGGAAGGCTGTGTCCACAGCCCTGGACTCTTTCCATATGTCCCTCTGAGTCGCCAGGACCTGCCCCAGCCCCAGCTGTCCTCCTTGGTCTTCACTTTGGAGTGGCTGGCCTATCCTGGACTTGTTCACACTGCCTGGTGCTAAACTGGAGAATGGCACTTTGTTTTCTTCTGGGAGGTCTCACTGTAACCCCAGCTGACCTCACATTTCAGCAGCCCCCGTGCCCTCCCCTCCCCAGTGCTGAGGTTATTGGGGTGAGCCGCCAGGCCTGGCTGGGTTTTATGCTTTTGAAAACCTCTTCCTGAAGCTCCTGAAAGGATGTGACACATAGGTGCACCTCACTAAGTTTTCACAGGCCAAACTGGGGTTTGACTAGCCAATCACAAGCATCCCATATCCAGTTCAAACCCATCTACAGAGATGACATTTCCCAGACTGCACAGTCCACCATGCAGGTGACAGTTCCGTGGCTGAGTGTTCACAGAGCCACATAGCTAGTCCAAATGGCAATTTTTGACATCCATCACCAAGAGAAACCTCCACCCAAAGTGCCATCACTGTGGTTCCTCCAGCTGCTCTTCCCTCAGCTCTGAGTACCATTCACCTCTGTCTCTTCACTTGTCTGTCTTGGGGTGCCACATGGAGGAGATGGCTATGTAGCCCTGGCTAGCCCAGAACTCACTATGCAGATCAGACTGACTTCAAACTTACAGGGATCCACATGCCTCTTCCTCCTGAGTGCCTGGCCTCTTTTGGTTTTTCAAGACAGGGTTTCTTTGTGTAACTCTGGAGCCTGTCCTGGAACTCGCTCTGTAGCCCAGGCTGGCCTCGAACTCACAGAGATCTACCTGCCTCTGCCTCCCCAGTGCTGGGATTAAAGGCGTGCGCCACCACCGCCGGCTTTTTTTTTTTTTTTTTTTTTTTTTGAGAAAGTCTCAGGTAACCCAGGCTGGCCTTGAGGGCAGTATGTGTAGAGGATGATCTCGATCTCCTGTCCCCACCTTCTGAGTGCTGAGATGGCAGGAGACCCCCATACTCTGTCTGTTTGAGCTAATTTCAAGGCTGGGCCACGTCATAGTATGAGCAGGTGGGCTCTGTCCCCTCTGGGGGGAGGGCTGCAGCCTGTGCACACCCTGTGTCTTCCTTGTGACCCCACATTGTGCCTGATTCTTCCTGCTTGGGGTTTTCTGTGCATGTGTGTTGCTGGGTTGCAACCCAGGGCTCTGTGTGTACCAGTCGACTGTTCTGGCACTGAGCCATGCTCCAGCCCCCTTCCTGCTGCTGCCCAAAGCACCATCTTATCCTTTGTATTGCTGTGTGGAAGTCCCCTGGTGACTGTGAGGGTTGGTCTTGCCTCTGGGTGGGTCTGTGAAGGCTTTCCCAGGAAGGATGAACTCAGGGATTAAAGCTTCTTTCCAGCAACACTCCATAATCCTGGCCTGTGGCTCCTGATCGAGGCCTCCAGCCTCCTTCAGCTCCAGGCTTTTCAGCCTCTCCAGCATGCAGGCAGCCATCCTTCCTGTGTAGGCCACTCTAGTGAATCTCCCTTTATGACAGACACCTGGTTGGTTCAGTCCCCCCCCCCCCCCCCCCCGAGACTCTGCTGGTACAATGACTGGCTGATCTTGATCCCTTCGTGGGTTGAGGGATTCCATCGGAGGCAAAGCTGGTGGCATTTTCCTGCATACCCTAACCATGTCGTTGGTTGACAGAACATGATACACTTGTCGGGTGGACACCCATGAGTGGAACGCTGACCCCAGGGAGGTGTGTAGGCTTTCTGTACACTAGACAAGCTGTCTCAAATCCCGCCTGTGGTGACCGTCGTTCCTGTGGTTCACCAGCTCCTGGCCTCAGCCCTTCCTGATGCCTCCCTTGGCTCCTAGGCCCCTGACAACCAGGCTGGCTCTGCAGGTCACCTTGCTGCAGGGCAGGCCCCCCCATCCGGCCCCCCTGAGCAGCCTGATGATGTCCACATGGGCTCAGAGGCCAGGACTCAAAGTGTCTGTTTCGTTGGGCTGTGCGAACACACGCGTGTTCCCACCCTGGCTCTGAAAAGGTGCTCCTTTCACAGGCCAGCAATACTGAGAAATGGCCCCCGCTGAAGGGAAAATACATTTTAAAATTGCAGCCTGCTCAAGTCCTGGTGCAGTGCTTCTCACCCTTCCTAGTGCTGTGACCCTCCAAAACAGTTCTTCATGTTGTGCTGACCCCCCAATCATAAAAGTATTTTGTTGCTACTTCACAACTGTAATTTGGCTACTGTTATAAATCATATTGTAAATATCTGATATGCGACCTCAAACAGGTCGCGACCCACGGGTTGAGAACCACTGTCCTAGTCCCAGTTCGCTCCGTAGTCCCAGTTCGCTCCTTCTGGCCTCTGCAGGGTAGTGCCTGCCAGGAACAGGAGTGTACACTCCCTGGTTCCACCTGCTCCTCAGGCTGACTTAGACCACCCCAAGTCCAAGCTCACAGAGGTGGCAGGTGGTGCTTTGAGTGAGGGTCTTTTGCCACTGTGATCTGGAGCCTCCACAGTCTGTCTCAGCTCTGCATGAATCACCCTGATCCTCTCAATGTCTGAACTGACAGGCGCACAGGTATGATTTCCAGTTACAGGGAGGGAAACTGACTCACAGAGAGGCTAGGTACCTTCCCCAAGGTCACACAGCTTGTTCCTGATGGGCTGGGATTCCAGGCCAGGCTAGAGGGGACACAGAAGACCCAGGGCCAGCACAGTACCTCATCCAAGGTCACACGAGGCCAAAACGTGGCTTTCCTAAATTCCAGCTGTAGATCGTGCCCCTTTGGAAGGCTCATGATACCACCATGTGCTTTTGCTATGTTTCTAAGGACTTTTCCTTGGGTCAGCAAGATGGCTCCAGTGATTAAAGGTGCTTGCTACTAAGCCTGACTACCTGAGTTCAGTCCCTGGAACCTACATGGTAGAAGGAGAGAATCGACTCCTGAAGGCTGTCTTCTGACACAAATGTACGCCGAGTTGGAGGTCAGTCTATCTCAAAGAAAAGAAAAGGAAAAAGATTTTTCCTTGACATCACCTCTTCCTGGGGGCCTGGAGGTTTAGTTCAAGCACGGGCTAACCATGGCCCTGAGAGAAGCAGAGGAAGCAGGTTGCACCCCAGGGGCCCCCACAGCTCCAGGTGGTGCGCTGCTCTCCACTCCCCACTGCACAGCTATTGATGTTGATCAAGCTGGAAAACTGAGCGGACGGTAACGTGGAACGCCAAGGTGGACATGGACAGTTGAGTGGCCCCTGCAACTGGGCTGGGGGGCAGCGGAGGCCTGGGAAGGGGCAGGTGGTCAGGGCCCCTGGCCACAGGGGCAGAGCAGGCCATTTGGAAGCAAGGAGAAAACCAATGGTCACCATGGTAACCAGGCCCTGTACAGGGCTGCGGCTTCATTATGCTGTCAGTGCTCATGGGCTGGAGACAGATGGAAGGACCCATGCCTAGGGTACAGGTGGGGCAGGGTAGCAGGTGCCTGCCTGCTTTCCCCTTCCCTGGGCCCGACAGTTGCTCACCCATCAGCTAAGCATCCTCTTTTCAAAGTGCAGCTCTGGTGCTGGGCTCTGTCGGTGCTCCCAGCCATTCTTAGAAGTCATTGTCCTTGGGTTAAAGAGCAAGCTCCATGTACTGTCCCCTCCCAGGAGAGGTGAGACTCGGGGTTGTACCCTCCCCAAGAGTACCATGTGCATCACACCTCAGCCTTTCCACCTCCCTCGCTGCTGCCCGTCATTCCTTACTCTCCCTTGGTCCACAGCTTGAGCCTATACACTCGATTTCCCCAGAGGCTCCATTGCCTCTGAATTCTACTTGGGACAGTCAGTGGGAAGGACTGGAGACTGGAGAGTAGGGATAGCCTGGCCTGCTGCTGGCTGGAGTGCACCCCCCCCCACCACTGCTCCTCCATCCACACTTTCTGGCTTCTCCTCAGCTCCCACCAGCACCCTTGACCCTGAGCCTGTGTGTATTGTTGACCTCATTATTTCTTGTTCAGCTCAGCTACCACCTTCCTGGTCTCCTCCCCTCAACCCCCTGTCCTGCAGCCCCCTGCTTAGCTGCCCTTTCCTGGTAGGTACTCATGCAGGCCTTTGGTTTCTGGGGATTATCCCCACCTCCCAGGAGCCTCCTGGCTGAGGCCTGGCTGGGGCTGTTTGTGATTATGGTTTCAAGAGTGTGGTTACTTGATTCACATCTGTCTCCTCCAAACTGACAAATTCCACAGGGTGAGTGGCCAGCATCTGGTTTTGCTCAACACTGCAGTCTAGCACACAGGAGAGAGCCTGCTGCTGGGGCCTGGAGCAAGCAGGGTAGCAGACCTAGTGTCTATGCAAATAAGAGACTTTATATGCAAATGAGAGGTGGGAGGAGCTTACAGTAGCCCAGCTCCTGCCCCGGGAAGCTTCCCGGTTCACACCTGCTCACTGAAACTCCCAAGTTTCTACTAGCCACTGGGATGGGGAGGGAGGGCATGGAGGGATGGGTGAGTGAGAGTGAGGATGGAGGATGGAAGGGATGGGTGGATTGGTTTGCAGATAGGTGGGTGGACAGACATAAATGGGAGGAAATATTTAACCCTTGGAAAATGTGTAGCAGTAGCTGAGGATGGTGGCCCAGGCCTGTGATCCGAGCACTTGGAGGCAGGAAAATCAGAGGTTCAAGCTTATCCTCAGCTACGCAGCAAGTCTGAGGCCAACCTGGGCTACATGATACTGTATCTCAAAGAAATAAAAAAAAAATAAAATAAAAAAGTCTAGTGGGAAAGACAGGCAGGCTGAATTAAGACAAAAGCTAAATGCCCTCTGGAGTAGAGGCTCCTGGGATGGAGGCTGTGTCCTGTGAAGTGTGCCAAAAGGTCAAGGGGGGCATGGCTTCAGGTCTGAGCTGTGCTCACTGTGCTGAACAAGATTAATGACTTGGTTGGGAGTCACTCTGAGGCCACCAGGGAGCTGCTGACAACCCTGCACCTGCCGAGGGGCACAAGCTGCTCGTGGGGCAGTGAGGGTCAGAGCTAAGGACAGCATCTGCTCCCTTTACCCTGGTTCCAGGCTGGGCAGAGGGTCTAGACTCCAGACTCTAGACTCTATGGCAGTGGTTCCCAACCTTCCTAATGCTGCGACCCTTTAACACAGTTCCTCATGTTGTGGTGACCCCCAACCATAAAATTATTTTCATTACTACTTGACAACTGTAATTTTGCTACTGTTATGAATTATACTATAAATATCTGTATTTCCCGATGGTCTTTGGGGGTCGTGACCCACATATTGAGAACAAATGTTCTAGAGCTTTATAGGACTCAGAATAGATCTGAACCTGTCCAAAATGATGAGACCTATGTTCTGGAGACTGGCTGAGGAGGCTAGAGCTGTAGGGGCCATGAATAGCCATGACTTTCGACATGTGTCTGGAAGAATTGTGGGATCTGGGGAAGTGACTCCATCAATAAAGAGTTTGGCAAGTTCACCAGAGAGTTCCGATCCCCAGAACCCACATGAAAAGCTGGGCAGGCATAGTGGCCACTTGTAATCCCAGAGAGTAGAAGGTTGAGACAAGACCCTGGGGAAAGCTTGGCTGGATGAGAGGGATGGGCAAGTGCTGAGTTCTGCTTGAAACCCTGTTTCCATGAACAAAGTGGAGAGGGATCCAGAAAGACACCTGGGGTCAAACTCTGGCCCCCATATAAACAAGCACACATGCACCCCACACATAGGTGCACCCCAAACATGCAAACAGACAGCCACATACAACGACTGGGCTTGGTGGTCCCAATATTCAGGAGGCTGAGGCAAGAGGGTCATCATGAACTGAGGTCAGCCTGGGGCAAGAAGGAAGGGGAGGAGCCACACCCAGCCCTCAGCTGTTACTCATCCACAGAGGCTCTGAGAGCCTCAGTTGCCCCATGGACACCTGCGGATGGTACAGAGTGGCAAAGAGCATCCAGCAGACAAGCCCTGCACATGGCCGGACCAGCAGGAAGCCGCTGTGTGACTGTGATTGAGTAGGAGGGCCCAGAGTTCAGATGTGTGGATTTGAGCACCATGAAACGCTACCTCAGGCCAGCCCTTAACCAAACACATCGGCATTGCTGTAGCTGAGACGTGAATCTCGATGCTGAGTGGGAGAAAGCGGAGGCTATAAATAGCCTCATGTCAGCTTAGGGCAGATTTTTGTGGCCAAAAAGTTACACAAAATATATATTTTTTTTTGTAAGCATTTTTGATTTTGGAGCTGTGGATCAGGGAGCCCTGCATGAAGATGTTGTCCTCCAAAGGATGCTGGAGGAGAAAAGTTTGTCCAAGTTCTGACAGGAAGGCAATTCAACCTCCCCCCTCCCCTCTGTGAAGTGAAAGAAGGCTAAAAAGTTCTGTGAGCCCGCAGAGAAGCCTGGGGCTGGCCTCAGGCCTTTTCCCTGGAGACCAGCTGGATTTTCTTTCCTACACGTGGGATTTTCTTTTGTCCGTTGGTTTTTACGAGACAAAAATCTCACCATGCAGACCAGGCTGGATTTGAACTCCCAACAGTCCTCCTGCCTCATATCCAGAGTGCTGGGATTACAGGTGAATGCCACCATGTGAGTTTTGCTCCCAGTTGTTCAAAGGTTTCTGCCTGAACTAGGGGTATGTGTGGCAGTTCTGCTGCTGTTGTTTTAAAATAATAATACTTTAGCCAAGTGTGGTGGCACATGCCTTTAATCCCAATACTTAGGAGACAGAGGCAGGTGAGTTTGGGTCCAGCATGTCCTACATAGAGAGTTCCAGGACAGCAGGGGCCACATAGAGAGACCCCGTTTCAAAAAACACCAAACAATATATGAGTGAATTAATAATTATAGTTTAATAACCTGTAAGCCAGGTGTGATGGTTCACATTGGTAACCCCAGCATCTGGAGCTCCAGGTCAGGTTAGGCTACATATCTAAACCTTTTCTTGAAACAGACCAAATCCTGGAATCCCCAAATGTCTAGTAGGGGACCTCTGTGCAGGCAGCAGAGCGGCAGGTGTGGGAGGATCGGGGGGGCTGTTCATCATCGGGGGGGGGAGCAAAACCCCCTGCTACTGGGTCGCCTCCGTGTCCCCCACCCCACTGTTGAGAATTAGGATTCATCCTGACTCTCACCACCTTGCCCAGCCTCTCACTGGGTGCTGTCGTGTGAGGCCCAGACGCCCCCTCCCCACTGTGGACACCCCGGAGGCTCAGGGCAGAGAGGGTGAGCAGGCTCGTGGGGCGGGCAGAAAGGCAGGCAGGGGACAGCCGGCGCTAGCGGTGCCACAGCACGGGTTGCTGGTTCTCAGCCACCCCTGCAACAGGTGGCCTGCCATCTGCTTGGGCTCCCGGCCCAAGCCACGTGTCCAACCCTCTTGAGTTTAGCCTTGGCTGAGGACTCGGCCTGAGTTCATACAGACGGAAAAAGAACTTGGTGTGAGCTGTGGGGCCAGGGGACAGAGTGCAGGTCACTCGCCCCAGGGAGGGAAGCTAAAAATGACCAGGGACCTTGGAAAGTCCCTCTGTTTGGCCCTGACCTTTCTCCCTGCTTGGTTTTTTTTTTTGTTTTTGAGGCAAGGTCTCATGGAGCCCAGGTTGTGGGATGAGCTGAGGATGACCTTGAACTTCTGATCCTCCTGTCTCTACCTTCCTAGTGCTGAGATTACAGGTGTGCCCCACCATGCCTGCTAATGCAGTGTTGGGGCTTGAACCCAGGGCCTTGTGTATACTATACAAGTACTTTACCAACTGAGCTACATCCTCAGCTCCTGACTGCCTTCTCTTTCGTCACTGAGATCCTGAGTTTGACTTGAAAGGTTATATAGACAGGTGCACTCACCATTTACACAGTATTGATGGTCACGGAGCCCAGAGAGGTGAAGGAACCTGCCTGGGCCTACACAGCTTAGCCACTCATTGACTTTCACGGGCTCCCTAAGTATTTATTGAGGTGGCTCCTGCAAGCTGCAGAAATGAGGTGCCTGGTGCCTCTAAACCAGAGAGCTGCTTAACTATGCAGTCCTGCCACCAACCAGGGAGTTTTTCCAAGGCTCTGGCTCATGTTTCTGGTGTGTGCCAACAAGACCTCTAAGGGCTGCTTCAGGGAGAGAGACCACTGTATTCAATGTGTCTTTCTGTTCGAATTCAGCCCATGCCCGCCCGCTTTTGTTTTAGTGACCCAGTACCCCACAGTCAGTGTTACTTACTAGCCTGGATGATTGAATCACTCGCCAGCATACCTAGGACAAGCCTGGGCTAGGACCTGGTCAGTAGGATCTACAGATGGCCACCCCCTCCCTGAAGAGACATGCTAGAGCCTGTCCCCTGAGGCAGGGCACAGCTGTCACTCTTGCCAACAGCCAGGACCCTGGTATGTGGCACCTAGTGGCAGGCTGAAGCTGGAGACATATGGTTTCTGATCCCTCTGAGGCAGAGAGGCCTGGGAAGTCAGAGTGATGGCCTGGACCGCTCGGGCCCATCTTCCAGCCCTCCGAGGCTTGTCTTCCAGCTGCCACATACTTTCCCCATCCCCTGTGGCCTGAGTGTCCACCTGGAATATTCAGGATGAGAGCCGCTTGCCTGTGGCGGGACGCACGGCAGCTCGTGTGTACATGTGGGGTTTTCTGATGATCACTTGAAAGAACGTTTTGTGAACAACTGAAAACTATGAGTTCTCCATTTTCTAAGGAGCAGGCGTCCCTAGCAGATGTCCACTTTCCTGGGGCAATGAATCAGATATCACTGCGGCCCTCCTGCGGGAGTTGAAACTCCGACTCCCACATGGAGGTGGTAACCTTGAACTTGGAGGCTTGGGGAGCTGGGCTGTGGCCCCATGGCTGACTCTGAAACCTCATTGGACCCACTGAGACATTAGGGGTTTTGACAAATAAATACGCAGCCATTCTGGGCTGCTGGCTTGGTAGGCCAGTGTGGTCCTGGGGCTGAGTTTTCCTGGGTCTTCCCAGTAAACTCCGTTCTCAAGATGCTGGGGGTTCCTCATCTCCAAACTTGGGTCAAGAAATGCAGCCCAGAGTGGGTGGGAAGACCTGAGGCAGCCGTGTAGCCCAAGAGGAGAGTGGGAGCTCCTAGCATCCTCCAGGCTTCCATCTGCTCCCGCAGAACCCAAGGCTCACAGGGCTGGGGCAAGAACTGGGAGAAGAGGAGAGAAGTGGGAAGACTGAGATCCGCCCAGACAATCAGTTTGGACATCCAGCCCCGCCTGGCAGAGGGACAGAACTGAGAGTTCCTACCCTAGGAATAGCCCGCCCCTCCCAGGCCTCAGAGCTGACAATCCCCTGCCACCCGAGGCGCCAGAGTGCCTGAGAAAGGCTGGGGGGCGGGGCTCTGGAGGGAGGCCCACTTCGGGGCTTACTTTCCCAAATCGGTCAGGAGCCCAGAGGCAGGAGGGGCCCCTCTGGCTGTGTGTAGACCAGGACAGACAGATGCACTCACAGGGGCCAGGGTGGCTCATCTAAAGGCACCCAGACGGATGCATGGACATAGTATTCTGACTCAATGACAGAGTGGAGAGGAGATGCAGGAGGGATACGAGACAGAGACAGGAGACTCAGGCAGATGTTTACACTGAGGCCTGTGCACAGTCACAGTGGCCCCCTTGGTTCCCATATGCCTGGACTCAGACTAGTGCCAGCCTCTTGCCTTGTCCCACCTGGGCAGCCCCAGCCCATTTGAAATGACTCTGACACCTAACACTCAGAGACACACCTTGGTCAGAGTCATCTGTGTCCCCAGCACCTCTGAATCTTCCCTGTACCCTCCCGGGTGACTGCTGGGCCAACTGCCATGGACTTCTTGCCTCCTAGAAAGCCCTTCACACCCGGTGTTCCGAGCAGTGGGTCTGGCTTCTGTCACTCTGTCGTTTCTGAAACTCTCCCAAGGGGCTGCATCCTGTCATTCTTTCTTTTCCGTGCGTACCACCAAACTTGACAAGTGGTATTCCAATCCGTGGTGAGCCTGGTCTGTCGAGGGAAGGCTGGAGGGGGCACTTGGGAGTCCCAAGTGTGGGGCTGTTGTAAACAAGGCTGCTGGGGATACATGTGCCCAGGGCCTTGTTCTTGATTCTATGGAGTGAATATTAATACCGAAAAGTGGAGTTGCCATGTTGGGAGTCAGTGAGAGCAAGGAGCTGTGTGTCCTGTCTCTACAACTGAGATAAAAGAGAGTCTGGGATGTGGCTCAGTGGTGAAGCGCTTACCTAGCATGTGAGAAGCCCTGGCTTCCACCCAGTCCTGCAGTAACGGGTGTGGTGACTGGAGTCTGTAACCCCAGCACTCAGGAGGATCAGAAGTTAAGGTCATTCTCAGCTACCTAGGGAGTTCCAGGACAGCCTGGCCTGTTTAGGACTCTGTCTCAAAGGAAACAACAACAGTATGGGGATAAAGAATGGAAACAGCCAGGCAGCAGTGGCGCATGCCTTTAATCCTGGCTTGGGAGGTGGGGCCAGGTGGATCTCTGTGAGT